TTCTGTGTAAACTGTCATGGTTTCATTTGGAGTATAAGATCTACTGCCCTTCCTGGCTGGTGCAGAATACAGCTTGGTGTTACAGGGTGCCAAGGTATCCAGTCCTGTATTTTCCTGAGTATTGCAATACACAGTTATTAATCTAACTCTCTGGACTCCGGCTGTGTGTTCCTCATTCAGCCCCGGGAGCACACAGGGCACAGATTTGTGCATCACCAGCAAGGAGCTTTCAAGGCAAGTGATTAAGCAGACATGATTAGCCTTCCTCTACAGAGTCCTCCTTAGTGGTCTCTCTTCCAACTACTGGACCCGCTTAGCTTCCGAGATCTGACGAGATCAGGCTATACCGTGCTGCCTTCCCTCTCCACACCAGTTTTACATCCCTTTAAATGCCAGTGCTTCTCCCAGTAACCCTGGGAAACGTGATGAGTAGCTGGGAAACATGGTAAATATCTCTCTTCTGCCTCCAAACTGGACCTCCAAAGGGTCCCTTGGCAGAGAGAGTGGCTGTTCTAACAAGCTTCGCTGTAGTATGGAATGATCCAAGAGAAACGCAGAAAATATAGAATATAGCTATCATCTTGCTTATATGTGAGCTCCCCATGCCTTCAGGCAGAAGAGTACAAATATTTAGCTTTTCCAGAAGTACAGTTTTCTCTTATTCCCGTGCTTGCTTGGCTAGAATGATACGATTTCAGTTGCTAAGAGGAGCTACAGATCATGTGAAAACTGGGAGCAGGGGTGATAATATGTGGATTGTTATATATATATACTTCTCAGCATGACTGTAGATACAGATCATTAAATCCACAGATTAGGACCATGTTCAGAGAAAGGAAATCATTCTACAAACTTTTGGGAAAGCCTAGTTTTGCAGGAAAATATGAGAATGGGGTTGGGGGGAAAGGTGAGGAGACTTTTAAAAAGTGCATATTCAGCTTACATGAGAAAAGCCAAGATCTTGTGACGCTACATCACAAGTTCTTGGCAGACATTTTGAGGAAAGAGATGATGGTGGAGAAGCCAAGAGACATTTAGCTGTCACCAGAGACAGTGAAAAGTGAGTGAGTTAGTGTCATGGGGCAGTCAGGGCTCTGTGATGGTGAGAAGAGGAGCCCTGTGTAGCCAGCCCTGAGTGATGCTGAGGACTCCTCAGGAGAAGAGGAGCCCCATGTAGCCAGCCCTGAGTCAGTAGAAGCCAGCAAGCAGGAAGATGATCGACAGGCTTGTCAAGTTTCACAATCAACAGCTGAGGCAGAGCCACTAACCCCTCCAGCAACAGGTGAAACCCGGTTGATTGTTCCCAGCCCTCCAGAATCACCCACACCCTTCCCTCCAGCAACAGGTGAAACCCAGTTTGATTGTTCCCAGCCATCCAGAATCACCCACACCCTTGGAGCACCAGAGACAGAGCCTACAAACTGAATTGCAGGAAAGTTGACTGACACCAGCTGCTTGAGTAGTTACAGAATTACTCCTGGGCAACTGACTGCAAATTGGACCCTTAGGCACATGCTTATAAAAATCAGCCAAGGGAGGCTGTGAGTTGTGGAAGGAACATGTCACTAAACTCTTGGCTTGGCAACCACAGTGCTGGACTCTGCTCCTACAGCCCTTAGACTGGCTCTTGACTCTGACCTCGCTTGTGAATGACCTCGGATGGTTGAACCTCATTTTTTTGTGTATCTCTCTGAACGGGACTCTGCTCTCTTGGTAACTGACTTTTGTACTGAACTCTGACTCTGGAATTCGGCTTGGGCTGGACCTAGACGCTGGCAGTTGGTGAGGTGGGTGGGAAGAGTGAGTGAGCAGCAGAGCTGAGAAAGCTGTTGGAAAAATTGGCAAAATAGTTAAATATTCAGAGATTGCAATGGATCTTTGCTTCACTGGAGAGGAGGCATTTTCTTCTATGTAAAAATATTTCTAAAGGAAGGGGTCACAGGAAATCTACAAAACAACAAAGGCACCTAAGACTACATCTTTACCCTTTGAACACACGGTCTACAACAATGGAGATTCTTTTTCTTCTTGACCCCTAGAAGGAAATCACCGGAATGCATTAATCAATGATTATTAGTAAATAGGCTTCACTTTCCCGAGCTTTCTTCCCATTGGCTTTGTGCCACATTCCCTTCCAGGTCAGTTTAAACAATAACACACAAGGTTAACACACATTAACCCTATAATGACTGAATTTTAGACCTTGCAACGTACATATTTCCAACAAAAGGCACCACTGCCAGTGAACTGAGTGAACAGAATAAGCAGGTGGCAACATGATTGAGTGGGGCACTGGCAGAGAAGCTAAGAAAGGCGCTGCCACCATTGGGTGGGTGGGGTGAGCAGGTGTGTGGGCAGTGTGAGCCAATGGAGGTGGGTAAGGGTGGGGAGGCGGCTGAGAGAGGCGCTGCCTGAGCAAGCTGAGAAAAGCTTGCAGAGGCAGTGAGGCGGGTGAGATTCCCCCTTCCCTGCAAGTTCCTCGTGGGTCCCTTCTTGTAATTAAATATCACTGACGTGCCCCAAGAGGCATTCTGAGCTTTGTTAAATTATGTTCAGTTTGTGCGTGTGTGTGAATTTGGCCATTATTCTTGGCAAATCCATCCAAGGAAGTAAGATTAATGGAGAGAATCACATTTCTGTACAGCTGAAGTCTTAAGGGAGCCACTTTTAAATCTTACAGATTATGGGCATTCCGATTATTCACTATGTCAGGAAAGACCTGGAGTAGGACGTTTTCAAGTTAACAACATCTGGCAAGTCCTCAGGACTGAACACTATTACTTGGAGGCCTCACCCTAGTCTGTTCCCTGCATGGTCCCTCTGCACCTGAACCTACCAGCCATCTCTTCTCAAGTGTCATATTGCAGGCAGATAGTCCCTTAGACTGCAAGGAGATCAAATCAGTCAATCCTAACGGAAATCAACCCGGACTGTTCCCTGGAAGGCCAGAGACTGAAGCTGAAGCTCCAATACTTTGGCCACCCAATGAGAAGGGAGCACTCACTGGAGAAGACCCTGATGCTGGTAAAGATTGAAGGTCAAAGAAGACGGGGACGGCAAAGGATGAGCTGGTTAGACAGTGTCATGGATGCAACGGACATGAAATTGAGCATACTCCGGAGCACAATGGAAGACAGAAGGGTCTGGTGTGATGTGGTCCATGGGGTCGCGAAGAGTCAGACTCGACTGTGCGACTGAACAACAAAAGTTACTAGGGACTTTCTCAGCTGAATAACTAGTTCAGCCCATTCACCTTTGCTACAGTCAATCAGATATGTTGGAAACAGGAAATTCAGGAAGTCAAGGGAACCCCCTGGACCCCTTTCTGGGAACAGACACATCTCTCCTGGTGGGTTTGTGGCTTCATTAGCTTTCTGGTTTCAGTCCTGGTTTGAGAGCATCTCTCAGGGCTAGCTTGCTGTGGAACTGATGACTGTACATTACTTTCAGACAGACCACATTTATTGAAGTGCAGGTCACTGTGGAGGGGCTGGTTCACCATTTTCCTAAAACGTATTTTGAAACCAAAAGCAAGGCTAATGGTAAACGTAATTATGGCTTCTCAAGAAATGCGGATAAATTCAATCCTCAATTACCCCAATGCATTGTTTAATACAGCCACAATAACAACCGCTTATGACATGAGGACAGTTTTAGAGATCAGCTGTGTGAGTCTGCAGTAAAACGTGAGTTTTGAGTCCCGCAGCACCTTAGAGACCGAGATTTTTGGAATATAAGCTCTCAAGAATCAAAGTTCCCTTTGTCAGATACAAGTTGGAATGGAGATCCCTGAGTCCTTATATCCAGTCAGGGTGTGTGTGTGTAAGAACATAAGAACATCCCTGCTGGATCAACCCAGTGGTCCATCTAGTCCAGCATCCTGTCTCGCAGAGTGGCCAACCAGTTCCTCTGGTGGGCCAACAACAGGGCAGAGAGGCCGAGGCCTCCCCCTGAGAAGAACACCAGAAGAGCCCTGCTGGATCAGACCAGTGAGGGTCCCTCTAGTCCAGCATCCCGTCTCACACAGTGGCCAACCTGTTCCTCTGGAGTCCAACAACAGGGCAGAGAAGCCAAGGACTTCATAGGAACATCAAGAGCCCTGCTGGATCAGACCAGGGGTCCATCTAGTCCAGCCTCCTGTCTCACACATTGGCCAACCAGCTCCTCTGGAGGGCCAACAACAGGGCACAGAGGCCGGGGCTCTGGGATTCAAAGGATTAGTGCCTCTGAATGTAGATGCACCTCTTAGCCACCAGGGCTAGTAACCACTGATAGACCTCTCCTCCATGAATCTATTGAATCCCCTTTGAAAGCTGTTTATTCCTGTGGCCATCAGTACACCCTCTGGCAGTGAATTCTACATTTTACTCTCCGTGTATAGTAGTATTTCCTTTTGTCCATCCTTAAACTACTGCTCATTGGCTTCACTGGATGCCTTCGAGTTGTAGTATTTTGGGAGAGGGAGAAAAATGTATCTTTGTCCACTCTCTCTCCATCTATGCATAATTATATAAACATCTATGATGTCCCCCCCTTAGCCCTCTCTTTTCTAAACTGAAAAGTTTGAGACTCTTCAGCCTGGAAGGAACTCAGGATGCAAAGATACAATGCACACAGTAAGTAGCTTGAGCAGGACAAAAGAAAAGTCCTTAGGGGCAGAAAATTAGCATCTGTAGCGAAGATAAAAATCCTATGTCCCTATTCCGTCCGGGTGGGGGAGTTCCATTGTTCTGAATTTGTGAATGAAGTCCGCTTCTGCAGTCTGGCATTGAAATCTCCCCTTGAAGCTGCCCTGTTTGAGGGCTGATTATTACATGATGTGCTCCCAAAATAGGCAGTCCGTAAGACTCAGGAACAGGTGTCAGACCTTTTGCTTCCTGGTATGCCTTCTCAAACCTTTCCCCAGTCCTTTGTGCGTGATGCTCTAGCAGGGAGCTCTCATTTTGGTCAGCTTCTGTTCCCTTACTCATGAGAATCGTTTCCCATTGTGTGTAACTCAGGTACACAGAAAGTCTGACTGACCCCAGCTACCATGGACAGATTCTCACACTGGTTAATCCCATCATAGGCAATGGTGGTGTCCCCGATCCGGCGGCTCTGGATGAAATGGGCCTCAGGAAATTCTTGGAATCAGACGGCATCAAGGTGAGCAACAGCAATCTCAGGATGGAAAAAAAAACCAACAAACCAAGGTTGCTACTTGTGACACGTGTTTATTAGTACATTGGCTTCCTTTGGGGTAGCCAGTTTGGTATAGTGGTTAGGAGTGTGGACTCAAGTTTGGGAGAACCGGGTTTGATTCCCCATGCCTCCACATGCAGCCAGCTAGGTGACCTTGGGTCAGTCACAAGTTCTCTCAGAGCTGTTCTCTCAAGAGCAATGCTCAAAAGAGCTCCCTCAGCCCCACCTACCTCACAGGGTTTCCATTGCGGGAAGAGGAAGGGAAGGAGGTTGTAAGCTGCTCTGAGACTCCAAGTGAAGCAGGGTATAAATCCAGTCTCCTCCTCCTCTAAACAGGGGTCCCCAACTTTTTGTGTATGTGAACACTTTTGGAATTCTCACAACATGGTGGGGACAGCGACAAAATGGCTGGCCACAAAATGGCTGTCGCAGGAAGTGGAGCCACCCACAAAATGGCTTCCACCGCTTCCCTTCAGTCACAAAGGAAAGAGTCTGGTGCTGTGGTGACAGTCGCTATCAGAACAATGTCTTAAAAAATCTACCCAGCCAATCAAATCTCCAATGGCTAATCGGACACCTTGCTGAGCAAAAGCCCTACTTGGCCCTGCCTATTTTATAAAAAAAACACGTAACGGGCACCAAGGAAAGGTTTTGGTGGGCAAAACGTCACCCCTAGGCACCACGTTGGGGACGCCTGCTCTCGGGGTGTGTGTGTGTCAATGTTAGGAGGACATTTCCAAAATCATCCAGAAGTTGTTCTTTGTGATACGGTCCTAAATACCCTGCCGAGTGTCATGTTGTGTTCCTTTAGTCTTAAGCAGGGCTCTTTTTGTAGAAAAAGCCCAGCAGGAACTCATTAGCCTAATAGGCCACACCCAACAGCAGAAACTCATTAGCATATTAGGCCACACCCCTGACAGCACAGCTCATTAGCACATTCGGCCGCACCCCCATGTTACCAGAAGTGTGGTCATCCAGCCAAACCCACCTTTTGCTTGTTATTCTGTTTACCTTGTTTGTGGTCCAAACCCAGGGCCTTCACTTTAGAATAATTCATTCTAAAAAACATCTTCCTTGATTACTATGGAAATAATGAGCAGGAGCGGTGGAAAGAGAAGTATGCTAAACTCATTCAAAGAGCCATGGGCTGCACAGAAGCAAAAGGAAAGCGGCACGTTCAAAGGATGGCTGTTCTGTTCCAAGGAACACAGACAACATTATGGGGACAGATAAATATGCCACTGGAGTAAAACACTTTTGCATAGAAAAGGGTGAATGGAACATGTTACCTCAACATTGTCAGTGCTGGAACAATTTGTACTTCTGTTTTTTTGTTTTTTTAAAATTTTGCTTTATTCATGTCCCAACTTTCTCCCCAGTGGGAACCCAAAATAGCTTGCATCATTCTCCTCTTCTCCATTTTATCCTCACAACAACCCTGTGAGGTAGGCGAGGCTGAGAGGGTGTGACGGGCCCAAGCCAGCTTCCATGGCATGAGTGACGATCTGAACCCGGGTTTCCCCGATCCTAGTCCAACACTTTAACCACCACACCACGCTGGCTCTTTTAAATGCAAGTTCAGAATGGTTTTCTTTTTTTATGCCTCCTTGGAATTTGGGGGGAAATGGAGAAATGAGCTCAGGGCAGATTAAATTTTATTTATTGATTTGCAGAAGTGACAGTGAAGGGTCCCTGGCTTCAATAAAAGAGCAAAGAGGGAAAATAGACAAGCAAGGAACACCAGGGAAATGACTCTGCTCCTTAGAAGATGTCTGCTGTGTTGTTTTTAAACAAAACATTCAGCAAACCTGATCTGAAAATGGTATTTTGTGTTCCTGAATAGCCCATTCCAGGCTTCATCTGTTTGGTCACAAGAAGATGGGATGCATCACTTTGGAAGAGGCCGGCGAGTTCATCCAGGGAAAGGTGTACTGCTGTATACAATTATACACATTCTCCAGAGCAGCTATCCCAACCACAGTGCTATGTGGGAAGCTCCTATAAGTTCAAGCACAGAGAAGATGTAAGGGAACTCCACAAAAGAAAACAGGGGCCCCAATCACATGGTCCAGATAATGCGGGTGGGGGGGCGTGGCTGTTCGCCCCGGAGCAAAATAAAGTGCGGTAGCCCGATCACACGGTCCCCCAAGTCTCCGCACTTAGGCTGTTAGCTGGCGATCCCACGGCGATGCTGCAGCATGGCAAAGAAGTGGCGCAGCGTAATCACACAAGCCTTTCGCGTTTGTGCGCATGTGCAGTTCCACAGAGCAGCACTGCTTTCAGTTTCATATTTGTGTGCATGCGCTTACGAAAAACATCCGGTTCGCGACGGGACGTGGACAGACACCGGATGCCACGGGATACTAGCGCCCCCGTGATCAGACACCCGTTCCTGCCCCGCGTTTTCTGAATACTAGTGCACTTTCCAAGGTACTTTTTAACTGCGCGTCTTTGGCGGGACGCCACAGGTTGGCCACGGGTACGCTATGATCGCACACCGAAAATCCGCCTGACATTCGTGTCTTTAGCATGGCAATGTCTCTGTGTGAACGGGGCCTAAGTGTACAAAAGAGTGTTTATTGCAGAGACGTATAAAAACCTTGTAGGGGCCCAAATAAAGCCTCATAAAATGTTCAAAGTTACAAAAAGGACAGTGTCGGACCTGATGTGTTTCAGCTCACAAGAGCCTTCTTCAGAGGTCAAACAGTACCAAATACACCAAGCAACAGAGTCCCTGTAACACATGTAAGGCAATTAACAATAAATAAAATAGGACCAAAATTGGAATGTTCCAATTTGGAACTGAATGACACACCAAAAGGTTTCTCTTTGGGGCCACAACTAAAACTGGCCTTGGATCAGAAGTAGTTGTATGAACTGGAACTAATATGTACCTTCCAGTTTAGGTCCTAAGAGTGCAAATAAGATTGCCTTGTCAGGGACAATGTGCCATCAGTGTGTTGGATTGCAGCTGTTAACATATTGTTGGCACAATGTCCCTGACAAGGAGATGAGCTGTAATTCCAGGGGATCGTCCAGGTCCCCCCTGGAGGCTGGCATCCCTACTTGAGCAAGTGTGAAGGGAGGCCTGGTGGTAGGCCAAGTAGAGGAGGGGGCGCCCTGGCTTTCTCTGCTCACCTCCCAAATCTACAACAGCCCTGTTATGTGCTAAAACTTCCCTGGAGATTGTCAACTTCCCTAGTCTCTGAGGGGCTGCCGGACTCAAATCTAGCTAAGACCAGAATTTTCCACACACGAACCTGCTTGACAGTCCCCTGAGGCTGAATTGGATGGGGTCACGAGGAAATTCCTCCCCACAGGTGTGTCCACCTGGCATAACATCTCTTAAGTCAGGGGTGTCAAATATGCAGCCCAGGGGCCAGATCAGGCCCACAGAGGGCTTCCATCAGGCCCGCAGTGGAACTGGCCATCTCCTGCTTCCAGTTCTGCTGCTGCTGCATCATGGCTTTCTTCGCCAGACTCTCTCAGTCACTCAGCCATTTCATGTTTTCCCCTGGGTCCTAGACTTAGAACCCTGAGCATGAGATTTCTGTGGCGAATGTCAATAAATTAAAAGTAGGTTTGCAGCTTACAGATGCACACCTGAACAGCATACTCAAGATGGCAACAGCACAGACATTTTGATGCAATAATTCAGAGCAAGAGGTGTCAGTTATCAGACACTGTTAAATAAACAAAATATTGCAAGAGTGCTGATGTTTTAAGCATGTTTTTATTTTAAGTAAAAAAAACCAACCTTTGTGTTTGTGTCCTTTATAAAGTTTACATCTCCGCTGCCTGGCATCCTATTTTATGACACACATGGCCCGGCCCAACAAGGTCTCATTTATGTCAGATCCGGGCCTTATAACAAATGAGTTTGACACCCCTGTCTTAAGTTTTGGGCCGCAAGTACACACAATTGTATTTTCCCAGGCATGTGTGGACTGATTTGTTTTTTATATGTGTAGCTTTCCTTGATTTGTTTCAACACTCAGATGTTTGTCTGTGTTCACGGCTTGTTTTGGGATACAAGTACACACAATTGTATTTTCCCATGCATGTGTGGACTGATTTGTTTTTTATGTGTGTAGCTTTCCTTGATTTGTTTCAGCACTCAGATGTTTGTCTGTGTTCACGGCTTTATGGTGTTGATGTTTGGGAAAAGACGGTTGTGGGTGATGGTTTTGATGTTGTGCTTTAACCACTGGTATTATGCTGCTATTCATTAGCTGTAGGTGCGCAGGTATTTCTTTGTTGTTTCTGTGGTTTGTTGGCTTAACTCTTGGAAGATCCTCTGTGAACATCTAGTGGAGCGTGAGCGGTTTAAAAAATATTTCAGATAAATGAAAGAGTACTGGGCATTTGTGCATTTTCCTAAGAACTGTTGCTATGATCTGAACAGGACTGCCTTGTAAATCTACTAGCATTTACAACCCAGTTAAGAATATGAGAACCTTAGAGAAGCCATGCTGGATCAGGCAAATGGCCCATCCAGTCCAACAGTCTGTGTCACACAGTGGCCAAAACCCAGGGGCCATCAGGAGGTCCATCAGCGGGGTCAGAACTTAGTTTTTCAGTTATTGAAGCATGTGGAAGTCACCCCATGGCAACATGTGGTCAATATTATGCATGTATGAATCCTCCCTACCTGAACACTGCTTTTTGCCATGTCAGGGGAGTCTCAGAAAGCCATGTTCAACTTAAACATCACCTCTCACATTTAAGCGTGATTAAGCAGAGTGCTTGCTATGCCTCTCTGACATGGCAGAATAATCAGGTGGAGTCTTAAACATTAAAAATGGACATTTGGTGTGTGATACATAGTCCTTGTTGAGATCAGGAGACAAGAGCAAGAGTCCAGGAGCACCTTATCTCTGACATGGCAGAATAATCAGGCGGAGTCTTATGGACATTTAGTGTGTGATACATAGTCCTTCTTGAGATCAGGAGAAAAGAGCAAGAGTCCAGGAGCACCTTAAAAGACTAACCAAATTTGTGGCAGGGGGGGGGGGCGTGTGGGTCACAACGCACTTCTTCTACAAATTTAGTTAGTCTTTTAAGGTGCTCCTGGACTCTTGCTCTTTTCTCCTGTTAAAAAGGTAAAGGTAAAAGTTTCCCTTGCTCGAAAGCCAGTCGAATCCAACTCTAGGGTTGCGGTGCTCATCTCCGTTTCCAAGCCGAAGAGCCAGCGCTGTCCGAAGACATTTCCGTGGTCATGTGGCCGGCGTGACTAAACACCGAGGCGCACGGAACGCTGTTCCCTTCCCACCAAAGTGGTACCTATTTATCTACTTGCAATTTCTTGCTTTCGAACTGCTAGGTTGGCAGGAGCTGGAACTAGAGACGGGAGCTCACTCCGTCATGCGGCACACTCGGGTCTCGAACTGCTGAACTACCGACCTTCCACAGCCTGAAGTTCAGTGTCTTAACCACTTGAGCCACCGCAACTCCTGTTACAGACAGACTAACACGGCGACCCATCTGGATCTATCTCACTGTTGAGACCAGTGTTAGTTCTGCTGTTGGCGGTCCTGATTGCCTGCACCTGCAATGTCGTCTTCCACAAAGGGATCTAATTTCAGTCCATTTCCAAGTCTAATTTCTAACTGCCTATATTTTGTGTTTTTCACTCTTCCAGGTCCCGGCTCTTTACGGTATTGATACCAGGATGCTGTCTAAAATAATCCGAGACAAGGTAGGCGAAAACTGCAAACACCATTGTTGTTCATTAGCAAAAAAATCCATACTATACCAAAAGCCATTTTTAGGGCCAACTAAAATTGAACCTCTGAGCACAGTAGAACACAGCCTAGCTAGAAAATTTTGGTTGGTGGGGCATGGGGAAATCCAGGGGTGCACCCTGGGCACATCTGCTGCTCCTCTTGCAGCAGCAGCAGCAGCTCCACTGCAACCTCTAGTCCTTTTAATTGGAGATACTCGATTCCAGGCTGCTTTTCTGTGTAAACCGCGGGAAGGGGGGATCTCCAATTCTCTCCCTCTTTTGTATTTTACAGTTTTATCTTATTTTTTTGCAACTTTATTGAATTTTTTTTTTTGCATTAAAAATCTATTTATTTATCATCCTGGAAAAAAGAAAATGAAGCTTCCCTGACTGCCTGGGACCATTTTGGAAACCTCACACGCATCTTACATTTTAATTTCTAAAAAACTTTTGTACAAGGGGGCAGCACACATCTGTGGGGGGCATTGCCCCCAAATGCCCCCACCCATGGCTATGGGCCTGGGGCAGAACAACCTTCAACCCCACCCCCCTTCTATCCAGATATACTTTATATACCAGTTTTCAGAATCAGTAGCGGACATGTGTTTTAGACTTAGCTTAGACTGTTATTAAGTATTGAGACGAGGCAGGTCTTTCATAATAACATGCTTCTTTATTGAACTTCCGAACCAAAGACACAGGCTCGACAGGACCCAATTTATACTTGTGAAAACCACACCCACCTTTAACGACAACCAATACCAAGTAGGCAGCTAGGTTTATTTGCATGAACCATATGTAACTATTGACAGTGTGCGCCTTGGCGTCTAGTCATGCCGGCCACATGACCACGGAAATGTCTTTGGACAGCGCTGGCTCTTCAGCTTGGAAACGGAGATGAGCACCGCATCCCTAGAGTCGGATTTGACTGGCTTTCGAGCAAGGGAAACCTTCACCTTCACATATTGGATTATAAGCAACAAATATGATTGGCCGTTACCGGCAACACAACCAATAGTCTTGAAGGCCTTTGGAGCCTTCGCTCAGACCCAGGCTCCATCCGTACATAACAACTGTATTGTCTGCAAAGATCTCTGGTTGGAGCAAGGCATGATGGGCCGCTGTTTAAAGCCAGGATTCCCCAACGCTGGTCAAAGATTTATTTTATTATCAAGCCAATTTAAAAAGGACTTCCCTGGCTCAGTTTAGATGAACTGACAAACCATCCTTTGGAGGGCGGTGAATGAGCTGCGGGCTGTGTTCTCTTCTTCCCCTCCCTCAGATGTGGGCTGTCTTCTCCATTTCCTGTTAACCCTAACCATCATTTGCGTTAATGTCTGAACTGTCAAACTAGAAAGTACTCCAAAGCAGAACCAGAAACTCACTCTCAGCCGCTTGGGGTCCCCCCGCCCCCGTGAGGAGAAAGGCAGGGTGCAAATGAATAAATATCTAAATGACTTTTTTTTTGCGAATTATTGGAGTCGCACCTCATTGTACAAAACGTTTCACCACGATGATCGGACCTGCTCTTGAAACACCCCCCCCCCCGGATGTATGGTAGGCTGAAATCCGCAGGCTTGATCAAGGTAGCTCCACGTACGACCATCCTGGGTTCTTCGTTATGAATCAGACATAGAGATGTGCTAAGAAATAAGGAGCCCACATGACTTTTCAAGATGGCAAAGCCCCTGATACCTACCTGTGTTACCAAACCCAGGTTGGAACAGGGATTCCCCTCTGCATTGCATACCAGTTTCACTTTGATGGATTGTCGGATTTTATGGCAGTGTCCAGACTGCTCTGGTCCGGCCTCACCTGGAGTCCTGTGTCCAGTTTTGGGTACCACATTTTAGGAAGGATGCTGACAAGCTCGAGCGTGTCCAGAAGAGGGCAACCGAGATGGTGAGAGGGTTGGAATCCAAGTCTTAGGAGGAAAGGCTGAAAGAGTTGGGAATGTTTAGCCTGGGAAAGAGAAGGCTTATAGGGGACATGAATTATTGCAGTCTTCAAGTATCTCAAGGGCTGTCATGTAGAAAATGGAGCAGGTCTATTCTCTCTTGCTCCGGATTGCAAGACTAGGTCTAATGGGTGGAAATTACAAGGGAGTCGCTACCGGCTAAATATCAGGAGAAACGTCCTAACTGTCAGAGTGGTTGAGCAGTGGAACAGTCTGCCTTGGGAGGTGGTGGATGCTCCTTCACTGGATGTTTTCGAGCGGAGGCTGGACGACCGTCTTTCGGGTCTGTTGTAGGGCTCTCTTTCGGCTCTGCTCCTGCAGAGTGCAGGGGGTTGGACTGGATGACCTGCAAGGTCCCTTCCAACTCTAACATTCCATGGTTCTATACGATTCTATGACTGCATGCCGCTTTCACTTCCTTTGATCTCTCGGCTTTATGGAACTGTCTGCATGGATTGATGGCCGTCTTATGGCCTTTCAGGGGTGACTTTGCAGTCAGTACGGCGTTGGCAGAAGCCGTTGCTGCCCCCATGCATCTCTCAGGAGGGAAGAACAGGGGCCTAGCCAGAAAAGTTTGGTTGGTGGGGCATGGGGAAATCCAGGGGTGCACCCTGGGCACATCTGCTGCTCCTCTTGCAGCAACAGCAGCTCCACTGCAACCTCTAGTCCTTTTAATTGGAGAGACTCGATTCCAGGCTGCTTTTCTGTGTAAACTGCGGGAGGGGGGGATCTCCGACTCTCTCTCTCTTTTGCATTTTACAGTTTTATCCTAATTTTTTGCAACTTTATTTTATTTTTTTTGCATTAAAATCTAATTATTTATCATCCTGGAAAAAAGAAAACGAAGCTTCCCTGACTGCCTGGGATCATTTTGGAAACCTCACACGCATCTTGCATTTAATTTTTTCAAACTTTTGTACAAGGGGGCAGCACACATATGTGAGGGGCATTGCCCCCAAATGCCCACCCATGGCTATGGGCCTGGGGCAGAACAACCTTCAACCCCACCCCCCTTCTATACAGATAGACAGTGTGTTTCATTTTTGCATTCGGGCTAAAAAGTTTGCGTGCTCTTGATTTTTTAGACAGAAAACCTATTTAAAATGAAGTTGGACCAAAGTCTGGGGGATGGGTGTCCAGTTCCTAAGAGATTTGGTTTGTTGGTACCTGGTGCCACCCGTCTTTCTGGCTGGCACTCACCTGTTTAACTTTTCCTCCACCAGGGAACTGTTCTCGGGAAGATTGAGTTTGAGGGCCAGCCGGTGGAGTTCCTGGATCCAAACAAGAGAAACTTGGTTGCTGAAGTTTCAACCAAGGTAAAGGCTCTGCTTCCTTCTAGAAGCGTGATGAGAGGCACCGTGTCTTGGAGGACGGGTTTGTACAACAAACTCGCAATGACCAGCGTGTGCTTATATAGCTGGGGCCGCTCTTTGCTGGGGCCCCCAAACGTTTTGTGAGCTTGCTGGAAAACAATTTGGAGGGAACCAGCCTCTTGCTGCTCCCAGACGGATTACAGCAAATCTCATGACGCATTTTGGCTAACGGGGAATGTCCAGGAAAGAGGCCTGGGAGGGAAGGAGGGAGGGAGAGCGGGAGAGCCAAGGTGAGTTTGAGGGGTGGAGGGGGCTGGCCCCAATCCCCAGACAGATTTTCCGCATCCCACTATTGCTTGCACAGTCATGCACATGAATGGGAAGGCCCAAGAAGAATCCCCCCTTGCCTAATGAAGGTGCCTTGGCCAGTTGGCTTTGGAGAAGGGGGCCCAGGCTCCTATCTTCCCCTAGTGTGTGTGGGGGGGTCCAGCCCGCTCCCCTGGATCTTCACACATGAAATGTATCAGACTCAGACAGCTCTTAAACAAGTGCAGTCAGCTTTATTGAACCAGAACAAAACAACACAAAAAAACCATAGGAGCTTGAGCTCCTTTTAATCATCCTGGGCTGGGAAGGCCACGCCCAGAGGAATGGTAAGAACCAATCATATTTACAAGATAAAGACCAATCATTGTTGTTCCCGCCAATCACAATCCTTAGCTCTGATTGGCCCGCTGTCAGTAGCAGCCAATCAGAACTTGCACTTTAGGATACCAGTCTTTGGTAGACGTCTGGAACTAGGCATACAGTAGAAATCATAATACATAACAACATGGCAATGATGTCACTTGGAAGCGATGTCATCGTGCCGGGCACATTGTGCAGGGGACGCTCTGGCACAGGGGTGTCAAACTCATTTGTTATGAGGGCCGGATCTGACATGAATGAGACCTTGTTGGGCTGGGCCAGGTGTGTGTCATGAAATGTGATGCCAGGTAGCAGAGACATAAACTTTATAAAGGACACAAACACAAAGGGTGGGGTTTTTTTTACTTAAAATAAAGTCATGCTTCAAATATTAGCACTCTTGCAATATTTTGTTTATTTAACAGTGTCTGATAACTGACACCTCTTGCTCTGAATTACTGCATCAAAATGTCTGTGCTGTTGCAATCCTGAGTATGCTGTTCAGGTGTGGATCTGTAAGCTGCAAATCTACAACGACGCAGCAGCAGCAGAACTGGGAGAAGAAGCAGAAGACAGCCAGTCCCACTGCGGGCCTGATCCGGCCCCTGGGCCGCATGTTGGACACCCCTGCTCTAGCATTTGGCCAAAAACTCTATGGTCACCATAGAGTTTTTAGTCAAATGCTAGAGCATCCCCCATGCGACATGCCTGGTGCGATGCTGTCACCTCAGAGGTGACATCATCATGCCAGTCACATCGGGCACAGTGGGGGTCTTTGGGGGTGGGGCTCCCCCCGCTAGCCAGCTGGCTGGCGACAGATTGGGCTCCCAGAAATGGGGGGAAATCCCACCAACATCAGGGGATGGCAACCAGTGTTCCCTCTAAGCTGAGTTAGTGTGAGCTAGCTCACAGTTTTTTAGCCTCTGGCTCACACATTTTTTGTCTTAGCTCAGGAAGGGATGGCTCCAGAGCAAACTAATTCATACAGCAGCCAAATCGCTCGCTCGCAGCTTTAATGCCTGTTGCTCACAAAGTAGAATTTTTGCTCACAAGACTCCAAAGCTTAGAGGGAACATTGAAGGCAACCTGACTGTGAAGCGGGGGGGGGGGGCACAAGAGTATCCTAGCCTGCGGCGATGCACCCCCTCGGCCTGGGGACCGAGGAAGGTTTGTGATGGGTTGCAATGGCCCCTGGATCTCTCTGTGAATTTCTTCCAGTTAGCCTGGGCTAAGACCAAGCTAAGCCTGGGCTAAGACCAAGGCTGCTCGGGTGGTGGGCCAGGCCCATGGAGGAAAGGCTCTTCTCACGCTGTCTGAGGTCGCCTGGGGATTATCGCAGCATTCCATTTCATCCTCTGGGAAAGAGCAGATGCTGCGAAACAGAGTTAGCTGTGATGCAAAATGACAGCTGGTCCAGAATGTGGCTATTGTCAGGGACTAGACACCAGGAGGAGGAGGAGGAGGAAGAAGGAGAGATTGGATTTATACCCCTTGCCCTTTACTCAGAGTCTCAGAGTGGCTGACAAACTCCTTTCCCTTCCCCTCCCCACGACAGACACCCTGTGAGGTCGGTGGGGCTGAGAGAGCTCTTTCAAGGACTGCTCTTTCAAGGACAGCTCTGACAGAACTATGGCTTGCCCAAGGTCACCCAGCAGCTGCAAGTGGAGGAGTGGGGAATGAAACCCGGTTCTCCCAGATTAGAGTCCGCGCACTTAACCACTACACCAAACTGGCTCTCAGGAAAATGCGCTGCCCATTTTGAAACAGCTGCGCTGGTCGCCAGTCAGTTTCTGAGTTCGATTCAAGGTGCTGCTTATGACCTTTAACGCTATTCATGACCTGGGACCCACATATTTTAAGGACCGTCTCATAAGAACATAAAGAGAGCCCTGCTGGAACAGACCATTAGTCCATCTAGCCCAGCCTCCCATCGCACACAGTGGTCAACCAGTTCCTTTGGACAGCCAACAACAGGGCACAGAGGCCGAGGCCTTCCCCTGAGAAGAACATCAGAAGAGCCCTGCTGGGTCAGACCAGTGAGGGTCCACCTAGTCCAGCCTCCCATCTCACACCAGTGGCCAAGCAGTTCCTCTGGAGGGCTAACAACAGGGCACAGAGGCCGAGGCCTTCCCATGAGGTTGCCTCCTGGCTCTGGTGTTCAAGGGATTAGTGCCTCTAAATGTGGAGGTTCCCCTCAGTCACCATGGCCAGTAACCGTTGATAGACTTATCCTCCATTAATCCATCGAATCCCCTTTGAAAGCTGTTCATTCCTCTGGTCACCACTACATCCTCTGGGAGCGAGTTCCAAATTTTCATCAGTCTCTGTGTAAAGTATTTCCTTTTGTCCGTCCTGAACCTCCTGCCCGTCAGCTTCATTGGATGCCCTCGAGGTCTAGTATTTGGGGAGAGGGAGAAAAAAGTTCCCTTTTGTCAGCTTTCTCCATCCTCTCTCATGTCCCTCCCCCTTAGTCGTCTCTTTTCCAAACTGAAAAGCCTCCTTCCCTTGTTCTTGTGCACTGACTACCTTCACCAGGCAGCCCTCTGTTGGCTAACCCACCACGTATAGTGGCCCGTCTGGCATTGACCAGTGCCTGGGCCTTATTCATGGTGGCTCCTTGTGGAATGGGCTCCCTGAAGAGGTGAGCCCCCCCCGGGAAATCTTCAAGAGGCCACACCAGTGTTGGGTTTGATAGTGAGATATTGAGAAAATTGTATTTAGCAGAGATAAGATAGCTTAGCAGAGCTAGAGTAAAATAATTCAGACTCAGAGTCCATGTGTGATTAAAATAGAAAGTTTTTACTAAATTCTAGCATGGGGAAGGGTAACCGGGATGAAAATAACAACGGAGCTAAATCTCCTACATCCTTACACTACACTACAAAGACAAGACTAGAAGAGCGTTATGGCTTCTCTTCTTCTTCTTGAGAACAGCAAAACAAAGACGGGAAGAGGAGCCATAAAATGCAAAAACACTTTGACACTTTCGTTCCAATCAAACTCCTAGATCAGGGAGAATTTCCCCCGGCTTGTACTCCTAAAACAACATTGGTTACATGAAAAACATGTGACTTCCTGTGAGCAACACAAACAAACATTTAACCTCTGATACACTGAGTGTTTTCAACTTGTAATACCCAACAACCAGGCCAAAGCCTTCCTTTTCAGCATGGCTTTCGAGGGATTTTGAGTTTATTTGACCTCTTTTATTCTGATTCTAATTAGAATTTTTAAAAACTGTTATTGTAAGCTGCCTTGAACAACAAGGAAAAGCGGGGTATAAATGTTTTGATAATAAGGAAATGTGATTTGCAGGTTTTCTGGCCGTTAAAATGGTTCACCTGTGTAACATGACAGTTTCAGAGGTACTGTGGAAGGAATTTCCCTTGAGTTTTTGTAGAAAAGTGGAATCAGGGACACATGAAGAGCTAGTGGATGGCCCCTGGGTTTTGGCCACTGTGTGACACAGAGGGTTGGATTGGATGAGCCATTGGCCTGATCCAACATGGCTTCTTTTATGCCCTTATGTCTGGGGCAGGGATGCTCTGTATTCTTGGTGCCTGGGGGGCAACAGTGGGAGGGCGTCTGGGGTTCTGGCCCTGCTGCTGGACCTCCTGATGGCCCCTGGTATTGTTGGCCGCTGTGTGACACAGAGGGTTGGAATGGATGGGCCATTGGCCTGATCCAACATTCGCTTCTCTTATGTTCTTATGTCCGGGGCAGTGCTGCTCTGTCGTCTTGGTGCCTGGGAGGCAAGAGTGGGAGGGTTCCTGGAGTTCTGGCTCTGCTGGTGGACCTCCTGATGGCCCCTGGGTTTTGGCTACTGTGAGACACAGAGCATTGGATGGACCCATTGGCCTGATCCAACATGGCTTCTCTTAGGTTCTTATGTCTGGGGCAGGGATGCTCTGTATTCTTGGTGGTTGGGGGGCAACAGTGGGAGGGTTTCTGGAGTTCTGGCCCCACTGGTGGACCTCCTGATGGCCCCTGAGTTTTGGCCACTGTGTGACACAGTGTTCGACTGGATGGGCCATAGGCCTGATCCAACATGGCTTCTCTTAGGTTCTTATGTCCGGGGCAGGGATGCTCTGTATTCTTGGAGCTTGGGAGGCAACAGTGGGAGAGTTCCTATAGTTCTGGCCCTGCCGGTGGACCTCCGTATAGCACCTGTGTTTCGGCCACTGTGTGACACAGAGCATTGGATAGACCCATTGGCTTGATCCAACATGGCTTCTCTTAGGTTCTTATGTCTGGGGCAGGGATGCTCTGTATTCCTGGTGCTTGTGGGGCAACAGTGGGGACGGGCTTCTGGAGTT